ATAATAAAAAATATAAAAACAAAAAAATAAAATATCAAAAAATGTTATCAAATGAAACTTTACTCACCGTAAGTGGTGACACTGTGAACTCGCTCCTATGCCTAGTCCCTTCCTAAAAAACAAAAATAATAAATTTAAAAAATAAAAATAAAATAAAATCTCAAAAAATGAGAAGAGAATTCTTCCTAATCACAGGAGATGCCTTTTGATTTTCTCAAACATATCTTGTTTGTTTTTTGTTTTTCTAAATTGATAGGTAGCGTAGGGTGGACAATTGATAGCATCATAGTGCAAATGTTGGAATTTAATCACCTATTATCTTGACTTTCTCTTCCCTCTAGATCTAATCTTTTTTCATCCTTTTTCATCAAATTTTGACTAATTTTAAAAAGCTAAATTTTTGTTACACGTGGAGTATAATATTTTATCACGATTTCATTTTCCAGCCGCTCAATAATTTCAAGGATGTAGTGCGCAGCTATTTTTCATGAACATGGAACACGTTAGGAGATACCACTGTAGCTAGGGATTGCTTCAGATTAGGAAATAGGAATTGTCAGAAAATTAATAGAAATGTGAATAAAAAAAGAGTTTGGTATTTTGTAATATCGTGATATAAAATATCAATAATTAGATGGATGAGTTCACATTTATTATTATTATTATTTTTAAAATAATTGATTTTTTTTATTAGTTGCATAATTGAAAGTAACTCTTTTTTATCTCTTATCTCACCTCACTTATATATTATGATTTAAATTTAAAATCTTTTATTTCTAACGAAAGAAAATTATTATCGAATTAGTTAAGTAGTTAACAATTGTTTTTCTTTTTAAATTAAGGATTTGAGAATAGTTCATATATATATTTATTTATATTATATATCTTAAGAATAAATTAAAGATAAAGTCAAATTTTTTGTAATAAGATAATTAATTAAAATAAATAGATAATGATATGGTTAAATTAGAAAAAAAATATTTGTATATCTTAAACAATAAAAAAACAATAATTAATTTAAGACAAATTTAAAATATAAAAAAATGATAAATATTTTGGTACGTAGAGAGTA